AATTACCTCTCTCATTCATCCGCCTCCTCGGTGGCTCGCCGCGATCGTCTAGTGGTTAGGACACTGCGTTGTGGCCGCAGTAACCCAGGTTCGAATCCCGGTCCCGGCATTATTTTTTTGGTTGTGTTGTTTTTTCTTTTCTTTTCTTTTTAAACAGTTGTAATTGTTTTAATTTTTATTTTCTTACTTTATAATGCTAGAGAACAACAAATAACGAAAGAAAACGATTTAATGAAGGGAGTGAATTGATTGAGAAAAAGATACCGTATCCGTATCGCCGTATCTGTGAGGGAAATTATAAAATCAATTGTGATTGAGTTTATAAAGACTCAGAGATGGTTTATTAACCACCTAAATCTGATTCACGAATTTGTGAAGATGCAGAGAAAATATTTTCGACCTTAACTAAAGAAAAAAAATCAACCCAGATTGGTTCTTTAGCGCGTCTAGTTGTCCCGCAAGTGGTCCGCAATCACGTGGGTGTCCAGTTACAGGTATCCAATTACAATTTTGGAATTCTCCAAAGATTTCTTAGTGATAGTAATTGGACCGAGTGGAGTGTGCAATGCATAAGGTGTTCGGGTTGGAAATTCCAAAATAAGAGGAACACGCAACGCGAGGCAGATTTGGAAAAATACCAACGCGAAAATTCTCTTCTTGTGGCCCTCACAACGAATTATCCCAAAATTTCCATGTGGACGCCTCGTCCTACGAACTCGTCAAATCAGCGAGACACTAACACAGTCATGCGTAGAGACTGGTAATGAGTTATACAGTGTAAAACTGAAACAATTACCTCTCTCATTCATCCACCTCCTCGGTGGCTCGCCGCGATCGTCTAGTGGTTAGGACACTGCGTTGTGGCCGCAGTAACCCAGGTTCGAATCCTGGTCCCGGCATATTTGTTTTGTTTTGGTTTNTTTTCTTTTCTTTTCTTTTTAAACAGTTGTAATTGTTTTAATTTTTATTTTCTTACTTTATAATGCTAGAGAACAACAAATAACGAAAGAAAACGATTTAATGAAGGGAGTGAATTGATTGAGAAAAAGATACCGTATCCGTATCGCCGTATCTGTGAGGGAAATTATAAAATCAATTGTGATTGAGTTTATAAAGACTCAGAGATGGTTTATTAACCACCTAAATCTGATTCACGAATTTGTGAAGATGCAGAGAAAATATTTTCGACCTTAACTAAAAAAAAAATCAACTCAGATTGTTTCTTTAGAGCGTCTAGTTGTCCCGCAGGTGGTCTGCAATCACGTGGGTGTCCAGTAACAGTATCCAATTACAATTTTGGAATTCTCCAAAGTTTCTTAGTGATAGTAATTGGACCGAGTGGAGTGTGCAATGCATAAGGTGTTCGGGTTGGGAATTCCAAAATAAGAGGAACACGCAACGCGAGGCAGATTTGGAAAAATACCAACGCGAAAATTCTCTCCTTGTGGCCCTCACAAGGAATTATCCCAAAATTTGCATGTGGACGCCTCGTCCTAAGAGCTCGTCAAATCAGCGAGACACTAACACAGTCATGCGTAGAGACTGGTATGGAATTCAGCAGCTACGAGTTATACGGTCGAAAATTGAAACAATTACCTCTATCATTCATCCACCTCCTCGGTGGCTCGCCGCGATCGTCTAGTGGTTAGGACACTGAGTTGTGGCCGCAGTAACCCAGGTTCGAATCCTGGTCCCGGCATTATATTTTGTTTTTTTCTTTTCTTTTTAAACATTGTTGTAATTTTTTGTTTTAATTTTTATTTTCTTTATAATGCTAGAGAACAACAAATAACGAAAGAAAACGATTTAACAAGGGAGCAAATTGATTGAAAAAAGACATTTTTTACAAGTTAGCTGTTCATAATTAACAATTAGATTACGAGCTCGAGATTTGCGAGTTGATAGTTCAGGAAGCCGAAGATAAGCTTACTTTATACAAGGAGCCACAGAACCTTGCGAATAGTCGTAAGGCGATACTACATACATCACGCTGTCATTAGACTGTCCTAACTGTACCTTCTCCCGACTTTCGTTTGCTCCTAATTTGCGAACGCAATAGGATAGACTTAAAACTTCACAAAAATTCGTATTTTGGGGCTACAAATGCACATACAGGGGTTCAAAACGCTAGGTGTGACTAGTCCCCTGTAGGCAAATAACGGCATTTTCTCAATTATTTTCGGCTACTCAAAGCGAGTTCGCATCCAAATTTGCCCTTCGGTGCTTATAAATAAGTAATGATGTCGGGCCAATCTGCTTGACGATGAGAAGGCGGAAAAAGAGTTACAATAGAGAGAGAAAAAATAGAGAATAAAAAGAAAGGCATTGCCAGTTAAGGTGTCTGTTTATCATGTTAAATCACAGAATACACAATAACCATTCAACCAGTTTTGTATGTCTTACAACATGAAAATACAATGTGTCGTTTTTGTTATTAATATTATTACTACATTTGAGCTACTTAATCTCACTGACTACTCCATAAATACAAAAGTCTTAACACATCAGCTAGAACAACTGCCAATAGAACGACCACTGCGGCTTTGGTCCACTGATTCCAAGGGCCTTCTTGTTTCTGAGCGATACTTTCGCGCGTGACCTCACTACGAACGCCACTGACCGCACCTTTTGGTAGCGGCTCAACCAGGCCGGGTGAGTGAACCTCGCTACCACGCAGGACGCGCGCCATTTGGAAGTGTTCGCCGGCCGACGTTATTTCTACCTGCACCATCTTACCCATGAGGTCACCCTCACTCTTGTGAATAAGGACCTAAAGATATGGAAAGGAAAAACAAATAACAACATATATTAAAAGAAAGGAATCGTCGGTAGAAAGATGGAACGATGTGAAAGAAGAGCTCCTTTCAAATGAAAATAATGTTTTTTCCAAGACTGCATATATTTCGTCTTAGCAACACTCACCGATTATGATAGGCTAACGATCGGAAACCTGCGACGAATAATGACCGAAGTGGCCGATGTCGGCCGACAGCTTACGAAAACGACCGATGTTGACGGCAAGTGGTCGACTATCTCGATGACGACATGGACGACAAACGCCGAACACTACAATGATACTGAAAATCTGTCAAATGGCCAGATTTATTCGTTTGTTTGTTAGCCCAATACGCATGCTTTCTCGGTAGCTCAAGACAAAACCTCTAGTTTGATTCGTTCTTGTTAATCTGCACCTCTTTTGTTGTTAGGGCTTGAGGCATTGTTTATGTTCTTTACCTATTGTTTCGTTTGGCTTGTTATCAAGAGCCTTGTAACGGTGCACGTCGCCCCCGTTTTCTTGCAAAAAGTGCCACAACTAGAGAAATTGACATCCACGGATTGGGAAAGAAGGGAAGAAAACGACAGACAAACAAACAAACAAGACATACATCAATCGTGACTTACTTGATCATAAAACTTGTTATGGCCCACGAAATGAGCCTGGTCCTTTGCGTCTTCCGTTATCAGAACTGTTTGTCGTTCACCAACCTTTAAAATATGAAATGGAAACAAAATTACACACAGGTTAGTCAACAAACCACAGGCAGGAAAGAAACGAAATCGAGGCAAGAAGGGAGGGCAACCTCGTTCCCAGGGTCCCTCTCGCCCCGCCTCTTGGGGGCGGGGCGGGGAGAGAGAGACCCTGGAAACGAGGATGAAGGGAGAGGAGGAGGGAGGAAAAAGCACGAACAAACAAACAAACAACAAAAAACATAAAAACAGACGAAAAGCAGTGCCTACCTTGTGATCATAAGGATGGTAGCTGTGAAACACTTTAGAAATCTCCCTTGTTCGCTTTTTCACCTGGATATTTTTCCAAACAAACAAATTAGCTTTATTCATCTCACGAATAAACTTTTAAATTGGTGAAATATTGAAACACAGTTATGCTGTAATGCATGCAAAGGCACCTCTTCTGTGGGAAGTCTCTTCATTCTTGCTGCAGGTGTTCCTGGGCGAGGGTAGAACTGGTTGATAAACAGACTAGGGAATTTATACTCCTCCACCAATGCTACTGTCTCCTCAAAGTCTTCCCATGTCTCCGTCGGGAAGCCACATATTACATCTGTTGCTATGGTGATCCCAGGCACCCTAAAAAAAATCATGTGGTAATTAAATGAATTACTTCTACCGCTGCAGTCTTGCACTTCATTGCAAAAACTTGAAGAGATGAGAGTTGCAGCCTGCCATGACTAAAATTGTGCTACACTTGTTTTCAACTAATGTACCATAGCGTTTGCTTAATAGGGCCAGGGCCAGGACCATGACTCAGCAATCTCGTAGCTCGGGTCTTTGTTTCTTACTACCCAAGCTTGACTGCTGGTCAAAGGAAATGAAGGTTGATGAGTCAATGGACATCTGCCTACCGACCACAACAGTAATGTGTGCATGCCCTTAAATGACCATGCTCAGATACAACAACAACAACAACAACAACAACAACAACNCGCTTTAAAAATAACTAATAAAAAAATAATAATAATTATGTAAAAAAAAAAAAAATTTTGACGGTTGCCCAACCTGGCCAAGGCAAAGGCTGAGTCCAATTTGCAGTTAGAGAATTTTTTCTTAATTCAGTTATCTCTAAATTGGACTAGAACGTAGTCATACTACCCATAAATTACATAGCACGTCGAACTGTCCAAATAACTTATTAATGTGGACACTAAACAAATTAATACCTAAAAAAGTATATTTTCTACTGTTTGCAAAATTAACCAAATAGCCATGTGCAGGCTTTTATCGGATTTTGAGCTGATATATAATAATTATAAATGAAACTGACTACTTCAGTATACAATTGGATACACCACTAACTTGTCTTTTAAGAAGTCCACAACATGTCTGAAGTCATCAGCACAGTATTCTCTTTTCATGTCTGCAAGCACACTGTCTGATGCACTCTGAACTGGAACATGTAGAAAACTGTACACTCGAGGATGGTTTAGTATTTTTGCCATTTCCTGAGGACAAAAGAAAGACATTGACAATCTGTTCCAGAGAGGACAGCAAGCCCCAGGAATGAACAGACATTTCCCACCTTTTTACAGTTTTCATGAGGATCGTGTACTTGTCAAGTCATTCCCTGAGACCGACCTCATTTTTAACCAAAATCTTGAACAGGGTAAATGGCTTGAATGTGTAATCATTAAACCAAGCCTTGAGTGACAACTCATGGTCTCTGCATTATTTCTGTCTGATACAGACACACTTCTTAAATTTGGTAAACAAGGTCTTTTTTCATCACTTGTCCCTACTGTATGTTCTGGTCTAAATGATTGTACAATAATTATTGTGTATGGAAGACACAATGCTTCAATTAAGCTGACAAAAAAATTTATTTAACAAATACTGGACAAAGGAGTAAAGCTATTGCAAAAAGTAGCAGTCATAAGTGGACAAATTCTACTTTGTGACAAATTTATAATTGTAACTCAAAAATTTGGAACAAAAGAGATACATGTAAGCTAGATCTCATTTTATATGTAAGTGTAATTCTGAACATTTCTAGCCATGCATACATGGTAGCATACACAAAAACATAAACTAGCACAGGGGTTTCTTTAACATTTTTAGCAGGAGAGCAGATGGTTTTGACAGGCAGGCAAAATTGTATGGACTGAGCGTCTTTACAAGAAAGACTTTCCTCTGGATGGTCAAACCAGTGGAAAGAAAGATCATCCTAACAGCTGGTCAGGTTGCTCAGTGCTCACCCTGAAACTCCTGACTTGTAACATACACACAAAGTCAAGAAGAAAGCATCTCCACGTTTGTACCCAGTCTGTTAACATGTTTACACATACTCTGTCACCAGCTTACCTCCAAGTGTTCCAGAATGTATGGTGGGTTCGTCATTCCAATCCTCATCATAGCTCCATCAGGAATCACCTCCACAAGTTGCCATAGCAACTCAGGTAATGTCACGCCAATGTCTCTGCCATAAGCTCCTGTGTCTTCACTTGTAAGCCACAGCTCAACTACTCCCTCTGAAACAAGCAATGGACAGAATGCAATCAGGTGCTAACACAAAATTTACCACACAGTATGTAAGACTGCACAATGAGCATACATGTACAATGTACAAACATGTACCATAGATCTATAAACGTGTGTGCATAGTTAATTCTCTATTAGGGGGAGGAAATGAGCTGGACTGAAAAAGTCAACATTGTTTATGTAAGAAATTCTATTAAGAGCTCTTTTTTAGTGTCTAGTTGCACCAGTTTCTGACTTCCAGGTTAGTCTGCTAAACTTCCTAGATCGGATACTAGTCCATGACAGGTTGCCTCAAATAATTTACATTCATGTACCAGGTTGCTCCATGGTGGAAAGAGGTAATGCAAAAGAACTGTCAGTAGCTTGAACAAAAACACAACACATTTATGATCCACTAAGCTTGAATCAACACCTTTCAATTTGGAGTCAGCCCCTACATCTTAACAAAAGCTTCTTCTTTTTGCTAAGAAACATCAAACATAGGCAAAAATACAATGTACAAGAACAATAAATGGACAATGTTACATGGCTATTTCCAACGCTGGTTTACCTTCAAAAGCTTGCTTGGCTCTCGCCACAATCTCTTCAGGTCGATAACTTCCCAGATCTCCTCGAGCATGCTTTGTCTTACAGTAAGTACACTGGTTTAGACAGCTACATCAATAAAAAAGAAAAAAAATAAGAAATTGAACAATTTGCAGTATGTGTATTCATTTGACATACTGTAATGAGCAACTGAGCACGTAAACAATAATTGAACTTTGATTACATACAATGATACACGTACATGTGCAAGCATATAGCGATCTCTTGTTCAGGGTTAGTTCAATAAGCCAATTAGTCATATATTATGTTTGCCTTTAACATGACATGGAAGACTGTGGGCTCAACTCCCAAGGTTTTCACTGATATTTTCAGCAGGTGGGCAAAAGTTTTTGAACTGAACTTCTTTATAACTTAGAGTAACATTCATATTGATGGTCAAACCAGGCAGCCAAAATCATCATCACAGCCAGTCAATTTGCCCGAAGCCCAACCCTTAATGAAACCCCTGAAGTTCTCCTGGCTAAAACTGTGATGTAATAAGGTTTGGAGATTATGTACAATTACCTGTATTTGACACTTACCCAGTGTTAATAGCTATAATTTCTATCAGGGGATTTTTACGAATCTTAGGCAGGTCAAGTGGGGCTCCTCCAGCCTTTTTTCCAGCAACTTTCTTTTGACCAAGAAGTCGAACCGTGTGACCTGTAAATAATTACAACGTATATTAAAAGTACAGTAATAAAATCAGCCACAAATAAAACTACACCAACACACTGTACACAAAACTTGTCATGTAAAAGATTACAAAAATAAAATTATAACAACTTCACCTTTCAAAGTCTCTTCTACAACTTCCACCACTCTGTCAATTTGCTGCACCTACAGTTGTCGTTGTGTATGATAATTATTATTAATATAGAAAATGATGAGAGTAAAATTTCCACCATCTCATTTTACAATGTATACGATGTAGTGTAAATGTATATCACAACATTTTCCTGCATTGGGTCAATTGTTTTACAATTCCTGAAAACCATTATTTTATATACCCCTGGCACTACATGTATCTATCAGCTATACACGTATCACTATGCAGTGGATAAGTGTTAACAATTTGAAAACAAACCACGCTATCCACTGGATAGTTAGTAATTTTATCTAATGGTTACAATGTAGCACTATCCACCTTTCAAACAACCCCTGCCTGGTGGTGAAAGAATCCCTGGCATTAATACAACTTAAATGGAACCAGCAAATGTAATGCTGGGGGGTAGCTTTGCGATGGACTAGCATCCCATCCAGGGGGTAGGGGGACTAGACCTGAGTTGCTTCAAGCCACAAAAACCAAGATAAGCTTTGGCTGTACATGTATGCACATGTAGGGGCCACTAGCCCGATGCAGACTGTACCTAAACAGACCTTGAACCTGCTGGAGAAAGACACTGTGATCCCAAATGACACAAAACAATAAACTCCAGTCAAGTTTGAACCGGGAGTACATGCATTCGATCTGAATTAACCAATACAATGACAAAGCCAGTGAACAACTACATGTAACTGCAACAGCAAAGTCTACAGAGTTTCTGAGACTTACAAGTAAAACAGAGTTCATGCACACCTGCATAGTCCTTAATCCTTTAGGTAAATGCTGTAACGTTTTATTAATATGTATTAGAAGGTACATACCCCTATCACACTGATCCCCTTGATTGACTGGTGCCTGGGTTGTCCTTGGGGTACACAGCCGGCCACAACCAAGTACTTGTCCAGTTCTTGTGCCCTTTTGATTGCATTTCTGAAGTTATCTTCCGAAGGGTTCTTTACTGTGCAGCTGTTAAGAAGCCACAGATCAGCTGCTTCTGAGTCGTCTAAAAAAAAAGACAAAAAAAAGAAAAGGCAAAAAAAGACAAAACTATTAATCAATAATAAACGTGACAGGACAACTGAATTAACATGACCGCACATTCATACAAACACATTTGATATGAATGAAGATATATATATTTTTTTGTTTCATGGACTTTTCAATGGAAGGACAAATCTCAAAGGACACTCAACATTTGTTGATAAAAGAAATAACTTGAAATCAATTGACTGGAGAAAAAAAAAAATCCATGACACAACAAGTATAATGTACATTTATCAACTTCTGGTTTAGATTCAAGAACATTTGAAGCAGGAAAACATAACTTCTTCAAAATAGAATGGCCTTTTAAAGGCCGGTGGTCTAATTCAAACAGTTTTCAATATTCAGGATATTTCAAAGAACTAGAAATTTTTTTTCCCTTAACTTTTCAAGACGGTTGCAAACCACATATGATTCACAGTGTACAGTGTACACTCAACCCATTATTCTTGGTTTTCATGTGCCACCATTGCCGCCATACTGAATGACATTAACAATATTACATGGCCACCAGTACTTTATCATTTAAATCTCTCTGGTTTGGTTGAAAATCATTAATCAATATTTTGACCATACAATGCTTCATGATCTGAGTTGACATAATCTTGTCTTTACATGTACATGTATGCTTTAGACATTTGGGGTTTAAAATTTGTCTTTGATCACAGTACCTGTAATTTTATAACCAAAGGCTGCTAATTGCCCTGCCATATATTCACCATCACTGTTATTATGGGAACATCCCCAGGTTCTGACATAGATCTTCTGTGTGCCAGGTATAATGCTGTCACCTACTGGAGTTTCGTTCACGCCATTCCTTGTAGATCTAACTCTTGCCTTAGGAAGGACAGCACCTCGCGGAGTGATGCGATCATTAGGTGTCAGGTCATCTTTCCCTATGGCATCTTCAATGTCGCATACTTCCAAATCGCAAGATGGCATTTTGCATGTGAAGGTTATTGCTCTGAGAAAAATATATATTTTTAGTACGAGAAAGAGACAGTAAGGCTGATGGAAAAATGGGATTAGTCCTTGCAATAAAATATTGTAATCACGAAGCCTGTGCATGTTCATGCATATACAGTATGAAGATGGTCATGTAAATGCCTGTAATATGAATGGTAGGCACAATGATATGCATGCGGTGTACAATTTCATTCGAGCAGTGGATTGGAGGTTCAAGATCGGACAAACATCACTGATATCAAGACATTTGTCAATCCAAAGGTATAGACCGGTAGATACACAGTGTCCGAGCGTTACCTCTCATCTACTTTATAGTGATCTCCTCACAATTACCTGTACTTCTAGGAAATCATCAAGCTTACAAATAAACGCATACAAATGTAATTTGAAATTAGCTTACAATGAGCTTTACGAGAAATGTCGCATGAAAAGACTGGATAGTACTCACATGCAACACAGTTTAACACCAAATTTTATCACGTAAGTTTTCTCCTTGCCATCGCTTTATGGTTTCACATGATCTTTTGATGGAAGAACTTCGTTCAATTCCTTCCCGAAAGAAGAACAATTATTCAATATTTCGCCGCCATGTTGTTGCGCCACGCTGGAAAGCCCGCGATGCAAGCCGCTGACTATTTCCTGAAGAAAGCACCAGACTCCGCGCTGACCGCGTATTCCTATGTACCTATACCCCATGGTGGGGAAAACGGGAAGGCCCACGGGGAATTGACATTTTCGAGGAAAAACCAATTCCCAACCACCGTGCAACTGGTAAATGCAAAAATTCCCATCCATTGGGTAACTTATTCCTGACAGAGTCACCCCTATGCAGATGCTGTATGCCCCCCCCACTGCCCCCCTCCCCCTCCGTGACACTCGTCACGTGAAGAGCTCAGAGCGTCGGCATAGGAGGTTAGGACCGCACCTTAAGTATCAAAATCCTCACCGAGGGGAAGGCTCGCCAAGTCAATTTTCCGTGGGTAGTTAACCCCACCCCTCTTCCACCCCAGGAACTAAAATTTGATAGGCACAACAATCCGGGAAACCGAGACAATTGAAATTTCAAGGGAAAAACCCTGGGTACAAAGGTTGGTTTCCAAACGCTTTCACAGTTTCACTTCTTTTCAGTGATTGTACAGTGTAGTTGCCCAATCAGATCAGTTATGGCTAATAAAATTAGTTTTCCCAATGAAGACTGGTTCTTCAAAGAATGTGGCTTACTGTTTAACCACTGGAATTGTTTGTCTGGACCAGTTATAATTGACTCTCTATTGATTTATTATCCATGCAGTCTATTCAGGTAATGGTATCACAGTAATAACTGTAATAGAATGTCACATAAAAGTGAGGCGAAGGCAAACAACTGATTTAAAGACTAATTTCTATTGACAGTGGCTTCAAAAGAACCACAGTAAATTCAAAAGCTACCATTCAAATACCCATAATTCTTTGTACAGCATGTCAAATGATCTCACTGACATAGAGCAAGTAAATTCTCAAAAATAATGGAAGAATTTCAGTTATAATTACGAACTGCATTGTATTCTAGGTGTATAAGTGTACACCAGACATAAATTGTTAAAATTTCATAGGTGATTATTTCCTTAATTCTCATAACCCATCTCGATGGACTTAATAATTGGTTCATGCAAGGAGAAAATGAACATACATGTACATGTATATGCTAATCACCACTATTAGCATAAATCTACTAGCATTCTGTCACAAACACCACTCTCTGATTGGCTACGCTACTTACGATAGTTACATTCTGTTGTAAATAGTGAGTTAACAGTGAATGCAGTTGTTAACAAACTTGTGGCCATTTTTTTGTGTTTTCAAAGTGTCTTTAAACAGTATTTACATGGTAGAAATCTTGAGTTCATAATCTAATTGCTGATTAGAAACTCACTGACTGGCAAAATATATGTTTAATTCATTGCACACGTGCCTGCAATTTACCTGTGCAATTTACATATACTGTAACCATTACAGTAATGTACGTTTTTAATGCCTACTGGCAAGGACCTGTCCAATTGTGAAGACACAGTTCTTCCCACAATTCAGGAAGGCAGACAATTTACTCAAGCGTTTCTGACGTAAAAGCTGTGTGATGTCAGATCTGGCTAATTCTTCTACTTTCTCCATAATAAACTGTAACCGTTCCATGTCTTGTTTCAAGCTTCTGCATGTGGATTTTGACACAGTGGCCATCTTTGCTGCACCCTCAAGTGTTAAGTGTGCATAATACTTAAACTCTGCAGCACTCCTGAGGATCTCAGAACAACCGCTTTGAAGCACATTCTCCATCACTTCATCAGAGTAACCATGAGTTGAGCGGATACTCTTATAACATGTTATGCTTTTATCCACAGTTCGCAGCCTCTGTATTTGATGAGACAAAGCTATGCCGGAACGAGCTTTCTTGCTGTTGCAGTATAGAGAAAAGTACTTTGCAAAGCGATTGGCACTTGAGCTGGCTAGTTCTAACTCGACTTCCTTGGACTGCTCGTGTCGCTGACAGCCATCCTTGTGCTTGCTCATGGGCACCAAGCACTCCCAGCAGAACGACGTCTGACACATGATGCAGTACATGAAATTGCATCCCAGATGCTTTTCAATTGGATAATGGCAGTGAGGGCAATTTCGGACCATGACTGAGGTTATCAGGTCATCTTCATTCAATTCCATTTCATCCAAGAATCGTTTGGTGACTTCCTGAAATTTCTCATCAGCAGAACATGGTGCTGGCCAATGTGCCTGTCTGCCACACTGGAAGCACCAAACTTTACCACAGTCACAAGCCACTGGCATCGGACTGTTCCTTAAGTTGGCCATGGCACCTGACACAGCTACCTTAAGCACTCGTCCACACTTTGTAGATGGGCACCACCTTAATTTTGGACTGGTATCTAGAGCTTTGTCGATTTTTTGTGACAGGAATTTGTTATACCAGGAAGGTACTAAAGCCAAAATGGTGACATCATCAATGCAGACATCACACTTGTATCCTGGACATTTTAGGTCAGTGTTCCCAAGGCTGATCTGCGTCTTAAGGTAGACTTCCCAGCATTCATTACAGAAAACATGGCAGCAATGTTTCAGAGCAGTTTCATCACATGTATCTGGGTGGAAAAGAATAATAAATTAGTTGAATGTTTAGCAATTCAACTTCATGCAAACTCTACACTTTAATTTGTGGACACTAGTAAGAATTTTTAATGTCACATTTGACTCAAAGATTTGTATCCATTTCATTTTCTTTATTTGCATCTTGGAAACAAAATCTTTAAATTCTACAGTAAGTATACCTTTAAGTGTCTCAAAAAATTAGCACAATAACAAAGGCTCACAAGTTCTTCAAGTGCATACTTTTGTGTGAATCAAGTTGGTTTACATGTTTAGAGATGGTTTAAGTTTTCATATAAGACTCTAAAAAGTATAGAAATCAAATCTTTGCATTAATTTATTCACTTTGCCTCGAGAGTAGTGTCACAATGATGTCGAAACATCAGCTGTTAACTTTAATGTTCGGTTGCTTGTTTTAAAAGGTCCTTATTAATAAATACTATTATCACATTAATGTCATGCATATTTTATACCATACAATGTACAGGCCTTCTGATATTACGTGATGGTGCGATTTTGCACAATCGACCTTAAATCGCATCCGATCGCACAATTCACAAAAAATCACATAATTCACAAAAGAACACACAAAATTCATAAAATAAAACGTAAATCAACAAGTTTCTTCGGAATTCCTGCATAAATACGCCATTTTAAAGATCATTTATCTTGGAAAAAGCCTAAAAAACCTTTGTCACCTTCAATTTTGTAAACATTCGAAGCTGCAAGGCGTTATTTTGCATGTTGGGGGCCTGGTACGAGTCTTATTCTTAAAGAGT